TTTGAAGGAATGTCATAATAGTTTTGTAGGTTATTTATTGGATTAGTCGAAATAAATTTAGACGCGCAAGACTTTTCAACCACCCCACGTATCTCTCTTTCACTTAACATCATCGGTATTAGCCTTCTTAATGTTAGTTAAGCAAGTTCGCCACAAAGGAACACATAGTGAAACCACTACGTTACGAGCCGACGGAAAGGCTCGCCTTGTTTTGATACAAGTAACAATGTTGACGCAACATCTTTAACTCTTGTTTGAACGTTAGTCTTCTCAGCGAATAGTTTCGCCCCATTGTACCGAATATAAGTTGTCTTCAGCAAACGTATCGCTTCGTTATAATTTACATAAATCTTCTTAGCGAATACGTTGCTCCGTTGTATAAACATGGCCCGTTTAACGATTAATAATAATAATGAATAAATTTTAAACCGGTTTTATTCTTCATGTACTATCGTTACGAGAGCTTTTTAAATAGCTTATAAATTGCATTTATTATCCTTTCATTCAACCGAATCAGTTTCAATAATAGATCGCTTGCAATAAGCTAACAAAGTTTTATGACAAAAGTCTAACGATGTGTTCGTTATGCATTAAATCCATATATCGATGTCGATCGTCGATTTTCAGGGACGTTATACAGGGTAAATCATGTTTATTTACAATTAGGGACAGTTGGATTTCGTTTTATAATTTTCATTGGAGAACAAAGGTTAGAAACCCATTTAATTGAACCTTTCGGCTTCGAACGTTTTGAGCCAAACGGCTTGATATTTTCAGCTGTGAGGAAAGTACCCCGCAAGCAAAATACCCCTCAGCAGTTTTGAGGCCTGATTTTGTAAAAGACCTGGGTACTATTCTTGAAGAAATAAATAAAATACCCAGGTATTATAAACAAATAATTCCATGCAAAGTACCCCCCCTAATTTTATTTGTCAATATTAATAGCCATCTACCATATATTCTATCATCCTCATAAACGTCTCCATCAATATTACTACATCAAAGTACCCCCCTTACATCAAAATACCCCCCCAAATTAGTACCAGGGTACTATATTAAAATATTAAAGTACCCAAGGTACTTGAGTCAGAGAAATATGGTACTAGAATTGCAAAATAATCTACATGAAATCTACTAAATAGTGGATAATGATCATTTTGCCATTCACACATGGTAGTAGATGAACAATCACAGTCAAGTGAAGTCATTCCTTCCACTCTCAATTCTTTTCATCACTGCACAAGCTTCTTTGATGAGTAGCCATGCACAACAATGGGCTTTTTATCTTTGGGCATGCCAACATTCTCCCCTTCTTCTACAAATCACCTCAACAAATCCTTTGGAGTCCAACTATCCTCAACTCTCTTGGTAACATGAATTCTTTACTCAGCAATTTATCAAAATTGGGTTTAGGAAATTCAAGTGGCTTTTCAAATATCCAAGATGGTAGAGTGGAAGTTTAGAATGTTGAGTATAGGGAAACTCAATGTCAACTCTTTGTATCCTTCATTGTCCAAGTCACTGCAGAGCATGTTAGGAGTTTGCATATCTGTCATTGGCATATAGTACAGTGGAGAATCCTGTAAAACTAAATATAAACTCCATTTTGTTGTGCCTGTGAAGACAAGACACAGGCATCAGAATTTAGTGTAGTGGATGATTTTGGAGAACAGATGTTCTCTTCTGTGTTCTCGCACATATTCACTGTTGCCATGGCCAAGCCTACCCATTATTTTTACACATTCTTTCATACATTCCTGGCAGAAATATGCTGAATGGTCTATACATCATGCTATTCTGGATAAAAAATCCAGTTTCATATCATTTTATGATGTCAATATTATCTTCTGAAGATGAGTCATCAAATAATATATGCTCATCATGTTCACCCAGATTTCTTGCCGAGTCCACTGGTTGTTTGCCATGATTAGATCATTTGAGGATTAGAATCTCCTAGTTGAAAATCTCTGCATATCTTTTACCAAAACCAGGTGTTTTGACATCCCACTAAAAAACAATTATGTGGAGTGCTTTAATGTCCAAAACCATAAAGATCAGAGAAAAGTCTCAGTTTAAGTTCAAGAAAATGCTGATGGAATATGTTCTTTTTTCATTCTAGGACCAAAGTTCAGTTCCTGATGTTCAAAGTTACCCCCACCCCGACCTGGTGCTACTGTCAGCTGGGAATAGAAAACCTTCATCAGCACCCATTGTCGTCAATGTGTTACATAAATTAAGAAGACACACTAACACTTGGATGTCCATAAAGCAGGCAGATAGCCTCTGCAACCAATTACTCACATCCTATCTTTGTTGTCTTGTGCATTGCCATAACCATTTTATCTCTTATTGCTTTCTTCTAGATTCTCCTCATCCATGTTCATAGAAACTGAGATAAGTATCTGACACAAAGAGAAGATCTTCAAGGTGATCTTATTGTTTGGTCCATACATAAACTGAACACATAATAATAATGCACTTCTTCCCAGACTGGATTGTTTGTCAATGGTGCTATTTTTGTTCTAGCAACTTCCTTGGCAGTGGCATCAAAAACAATAACATATGGATCATTTGACTGGAACCAACCACCACTTTGCATGATCAATTTTTATTTTGAGAATTCCAATGGCTTGTCTCAGAAACTTCTATGCAATAGCTTCTTCTTCTGTAGTTTCTTCTTAACTTCTTCAGAGACAGTATATTTGGTAATTGTAAGAGAATTTTTGAAAGATTTGTCCAGTTAGAAAGTTTCTTAATTGACTTGATAATGTTTGACAATGAATATTCTTGCCACTTCATAGTATTCCATATGAAGGATCTGAGCAAATGCCTCTTTTTCAACAGACTCCTTGCCTTTAAATTGGCTCCATAACCACAGATATGAAATTTCATATTGAGCTTGCCATTCTGTTTGATGATCAATAGCAAGTAGATGATAATAATGTAACAGCAAACTAGTGACCCAAGTACCAAGCAGTTGTGTCATGACATGAGGCCATGTTAATGTTTCTTAATATAAGCTGTCAGTAATTGTTCTCACTGCTGAACCCAATTGATACAACAAGTTCGTTGTTTATTTGGAAAGTCCCAAATATGACCTCCTGTCATCTCAGAAAACATCCATCTATTATCAACTCTCAAGTTTTAAATAATTGTTCCAATGCCTTTCTTTCAATGTGTCTGACTTCAAGTCTGACAAAATTGGATTTACTTTAATATACCCATGAAGCGTCTCTTATAAATATTCAAGGCGGCGTATTGTATTCATTTGGCTGGTTGAATTCAATAAATTATCCAATTGCTGATAAAGCTTACGGGTGCAACGGACGACCATAACTGTCTTTTGTTTCGTTTATAGTCTGCCAAACCTTTCCCAAAGAACTCCAGACAGCCTTAAAAGCGTCAAGTCTGACTTTCGGAAACAAGGTCAAGATGCAAGGCATACTTCGCACGACAGTTGGCGTCGAATTTAGTCTTGAGATGGGAAAAAGCACTGAGAGATGCAAAGAAGCAACTAAATAATGCAGAAGCATGCCTAATGGAGTTTATGAAGGGGAAACGACCATCGTTTTTGCTACAAATTGACCAGCAAACTTAAATAGATTAATTGTCTTTTTTCCATTCTCACTACCGGTCAATTCCGGACTCATTGGCATTGCGTATAGTCCTGTTGGCGAATTAACATAG